TATTGTTCTGTTACAGCCGGTTGGCTTATGGTTCTGTTCAGTTTGTTGTGTATATCGACCGGAGGACCGGGTGAGGCTGTAGGGGTGTGAGGAGGCCTCACAGGAGATCCCCAGTAGTCCGGGGGTTTCCTGGGTGCCCAGTTTGGGAACCGAGCAGTGCCGGGGAGGCACAGCTGTTTGGCTCTGGCATGGTGCAGTGTGTGGGGGTTGAGACCCCAGCCCGAGGGCAGTATTCTGCCCAGTCAGGCAAAGGACCCCAAGAAGGGTCAGGGGGCCAGGCACGGCTGTGTGCCACCTGAGCCCCAAGTGCGGTTTGGCACGGGACAGGCCCCAGAGGGGCGTAGTGCGAGAAGTGCGGGACGAGCCCTAGCGAGGGCAAGAGCGCGAGAGGCGCGGACATAGGTCCCAGCGAGGGCGAGGGCCCCAGCGAGGGCAAGAGCACGAGAGGCGCGGACACGGGCCTCAGCGAGGGCAAGAGCGCGAGAGGCGCGGACACGGGCCCCAGTGAGGGCAAGAGCGCGAGAGTGAAGCCCGGGGAGGGCTAGTATAAGATTGGAGCGGCACTGGTTTTGTATAGACGCCCCGGGGAAGGGCGAGCATGCGGTTAAGAGTCCCGGAGAGGGGCAGGCACGCGCGTGAAGCCTGGAGAGGGGCGGACGTGCGGATTAGGGCCAGGAGGAGAAGAGCGCGTGAACAGGAGCCCGGAGAGGGCAGGGCACGCGGGTAAAGGCCCAGAGAGGGCATAGATTGGAGACACAAAAACGTCCGGAATAGCTGCGAGGCTTGGGGCGTGCTAAAGGGGAGGTAGGAGGCACGCATAACCCATAAGGCTGGGGGTGCACCAAGTCACCCATAGATACTAGGAGATCAAAGGCAGCCTCCCATATTAAATTGTATAAGATCAAAGATGTGGCGGGCGAGAATAAGCGGGTGCTGGATCTCCTAATTGGCACGGCAGGGGACGCTAGAGGGATCACGGCCGCTCCTAGGCCCCACGCCGTGACACAAATACTCAGCAATGGCCAAATGTTTCAAAAAAAACAAACTGAGGAGGACTGATTAGGCAATGGCACATCATGATTTCAGGTTTCCTATTTCTTATGCTTGGGCAGCTACTGCTCCCACAATTTTTTTCACTTAGAGTTTTGATGTTAAGTTATCTCTCGCTGCATCCATATTCCAAGGATCTTGCTCCAAAAGCCATTGCCGTAATACATAGTCACTGAGGCTATAAACAGTCATTGCCAAATGATCAGCTGTGCTGGGATGTGTCGGCCTGGGTTAAGACGCATCTTTACACAGCCAATCCATTTCATAAGGTGAAACAGACGTTGCCTGCTGTCCCACAGAGTTAGGCCCCTGTCACTCCCAGGGCTTTAGGGGCCCAATCCTGTGGGACAATACCTAGGGTATGCCTCTGGAAATAGGGGAACGTGGACAGGTGCTCCTGGGACTTAAGAGGCCCAATCCTGTGCACCCCACAAATTCCCTGGTCTGCCTGTGCTCTCCCGCCTTAAAACAAATAGACATCTTCTGCAAAATAGCTGCACAAAAGTATATTACCTTTTCCAATGTTAACAAATTTGGGCATTTGTGACAGGACAAAGGGCATGTGTGTGTGTTTGCTTTCATTTTGTGCCATTATGAAAATTCTTATGACAGCACAAAGGCTATTTCTGTTTGCAGCCTGAGTCTGCTCCAGACTTGATAAGCAAACACTTTCTTTCTTATACTTAAAACCAATGAAAGGTCTCAGTGTTCATCTAGGTGGTGCCCAGTTCATTCTCTCAAGCACAGGAAAGTCGTTTATTGAATCCCAATTCAAATGGCCTCCTCCATATTTGCTGTCCTCTATTTTTGGTCTCAGGACAACCTTCTTGGTAGTCTGGATTCCTACAGTTCCTGGTACACTAGTCTGTAGTGTCCTGGCACTCCTCTCCTGGCAACTTCAGCAGGCTCCCAAATAATTTACCTCTAGAAGACCCTCATTTCTCATTTCTTTCGGTCCTTGCACAAGTGCTGGTGTTTGGACAAGCGTTCTATGGTGACTGCCACAATCAAATGATAGAGTTGTCAAATGTTCAAGCAGTGTTTCAAGTCTAATTACAGGTTATACATAGATTCCCACTATCTCATACACAGAAACATTACCTAACATTCTCCATATGCCAGTGGGGGCCAACCTTTTTAGCAGGTGTCCCACAAAGTAAGCCCCATGCTCTCCCTGGCTGCCACTCTGATCCCCTTTCCCTGCCTGATCTGTTGCTCTGCTTTCAGCTCCGTGCCCAATCTGTTACTTTGCTTCCTTGCTCTCTGCCCTATCTGCCGTTGTATTCCCTGGTTCCCCCGAAATCTTTACAGACAGGTTTCCTGTGCCATTTGGTGCACACATACTGTATGTTGTCCATGCCTGCTCTGCAGCATCCCTGAGTCAGCCTCTTTATCTTTGCTGTCCTTCATAGCTAGTGCCAAGCACAAGATTGGGGGAAATTGTGAGGATACTCTCTGGTTCCTTCCAGCTGCAATAATCAAATTATTTTCTCTTCTCATAGTTCCCTTGAAAAACACTTACCACTTTTAGAACAGATTTAATAATTAAGAACTTGAAGGATTGAAATATGAAGTCCAAGAAAGCTAAATGTGTACAGCTTGTCTATATAAATATGACTAATGGTAGGATATGATAGCCTACTGTTCCAATATTTAAAGACTGTAAACAGAACAGAGGGAGGGAAATAATTTAGGGCCATAAAAGACAGCATAACAAGAGATAATGGGATTATAATAAGAAGAAAAATTTAGGCTAAATATTAGCAAAAACATCTTGACTATATGATCTATTAGATTGTCTCATAGCCTCCCCCAGGAAGTCCTGTCTCTTGTGAGACATAAAGGTGCATATAGTACCAGGAACTATGCTATAGAGCTGGAGGATGGACTAGATGACCTAATGCATCTATTTGTTTGAAATTTCTGAGGATCAAATTCTGCCATCTTTACTCAGGCTGAGTAGCACATTGCTCCTTTACTAAGAAAATTCAATTACTGCTGAGTTCTACTCAATATGATCAAAGGCAGTAGAATCTGATCCTATGACTACATGTATTACTTCAACATTTAATTGGAAGCAGCCATTCACACAATATTAGCATTTAGTGATACAATTCTAATTGGCCAATCAAGGATTTTTCTAGTAGTTTTCATTTCCAAATACCTACAATTACAATTGTAGAGTTCTAAAGATTCTGCTATTACCGTATCAGATCTGTAGGCCCCATAGTGCTGATCCTGTGCCAATGGAAATGACTCGTGCTATTTTCTTGTTTGTATCTATTACATTTAACACTGATTTAATAAAAATAACTGATAAAGCAAATAGGAAATGAATCATAAAAATGAAAAATTGCAGTTGTTCCATTGGCATCATTTCAGCTGTAAGTGGGGACGCAGATCCAATGGAAAACACTTAGGTCTAGTCAATGGTAGTAAAGAATCTCATACATTTACAGTGATTGCACTATCTTGTTCTGGTCCACACAATCTGCTGGACAAACAAGATGAGTTACAAGTGGAATGGAAGTCATTAGTTTCTCTTTGCCCATTGAAGATAGCCTTTTAACCTTATTTTAACATCATTGCTTATGTTTAACTACCACTTAAAAGCTCTCATAAAATGTCAATTACATATTATTTCATAACTGATTCTCAAAATAATGGTTGCTGCTTTAACAGTTCAGAGGGAAGTATTTCTCCTCTAATTACCAATACTTTGTCTTCACAAGAAATTTCTATTTCTTTGTTTTTTATCTCAGAGAATTACCAATCCTACACAATCATATTAAGTACCAATTAAGAAAAGATTTGTCATTTCAGCTCGGCCATTGAACTGAAGTTGGAGCTTCATATTACCCAGCATTCTGACAGAAATTATTTTAATTAGACTTCTTCTAACAGCATTTAAACAGATCCTGCACTGTCAGGGAAGGAAGAAATGACTCTTCAGTCAGATAATTTACTTATTTCTTTTTTTCCTTACCATAAATTTTAGTAGAGAGATTATTACTTAAGTCATCTTTTCCTTTCCTTATTAGGTAACCAACTGAGACCACTTCCCACTGAAAATGTCACACATCATTCAAATATAAATGACCTGTGTCCACTTGTTTTTTTCATGCAATTTCTTTTGGGATGTTTGAAATATTTTTATACTATTTAAAAGATACAGGCATTTTACGTAATCCATCTCTCCTCTACTGTAACATTGAAGTAGAAAAATCTGAATAATAGTAATCTGTAGCTATAAAGTATGCAGTACTGTGTATGTATATTCAAGTCAGATATATATGATGAATCTTATCATCCTTCTATTTAGATTTTATGTGTCCACATTAATAAGTTTATGATATATCTTGAATGCGGAGATGTAAGAACTAAACTCAGCACAAATTAAAAAAAAAATTACTTGCTGTAGTTACCGAGAAAAAGAGGTACCACCTTCAGGTCAACTAAAGTCTCTAATTTCTGTTACCTTTCATGTCAGGATTTTTAAATAAAAATTTAAATCCACCAACTCTCTGGGTAAGTTTAGGTTTTGAAACCTTGGTATTTTCCTTACAGAAATGCAATTTTTTCCCCCCCAGAACTTAAGGTCAGGTTGTCTGACTAATGTGAGCATGTGTTTCCCCAGACTCTCTAGCATAGCCTGCCCAGCACTCCGTGCATTTAAGTAAACACAGCATGGTTGTTGGAGCATGTGGCCAATGAGGAGGCCAGAAGGAGGGGATGAGGCTCGGAGGAAATAAGAGCAAATTCCTCTGAAATGATCTGACAGGAAATGACAGAATGTCAGCCTTATATAACCACACTCTGAGAGAGAGGGGGTGGGAGAAGTTCTTCCTAAATACAGAGTGGTGCCAGATCTCAGTAGGTGAGGATGATGAAATAATAAAGCATTTCCCCGTGTGTGTTTTTCATTAGTCCTGTTTTGTTTTTCTTCCAAGTGCTGTGGAAACAGAACAGAAGCCCATGTTTCAGCCAGGACTGCAATGGCCTCCTCCCATGGGAATAACAGCTGCATAAATAGGAGAGAGACCCTCCGTGGAATTGCGTCCAACACCTTTCTAATGGAAATAATGATTTGCAAAGCCCAGTTTATACCTTTGCCACATAATTAGTAGCCAGAAGAGCCTGAAGATAAAAAACATTGTTCCAACTCCCAGCATCCTTGAAATTTGGCAAGACCTTAAATATTCCACTCTGTGTTCCAAAAAGGTAGCTTATATGTGATCATTGTAAGGAGAGTCTTAGGCAGTTGAGCCAAGCCCTTGAATCAATCAACACTTATTATATGGAAATTAACCAGTTTGATGTCAATTAGTGGAAATTTGTTAGCAGACATACCCTGTGGGACATTTTATTTTGAATTCCTAACACTCCTTATAGAAGCTAGCTAAGAAAGGGTCAGGGACTGCAAATCAATTTTCTCAAAAAGTCAGAGTAGGATTAGTTAAAAAAACAGTTTAGAAACTAAGAAAGGAAAAGCTACACTAAAACACTCTGACACATAAAACTAACCATTC